CCTAACCTAACCTACCCTATTGATAAAGATATTTAAATAATGTTTTTTATAACTTTCTCAATATTTTTATGTATTTTTCATTAGTTTTACCTTTGAATATTGTTTAAGAATGACTATATAAATATTTACATGCCTAGAAATGTATAAAAATTGGCATATTTATTAACTTTGAACCCTCATAACTTTTTATGGGGGTGAGACCGCCACGAACTTTTTATGGTACAGTGGTGGGAGAGACCTCCTCTTTCGATCCCCCCCCACATCATCTAGACCTCTACCTAAAGGTTTTTTAATTCAATATTCAACAGTTTTTACAACCAAAATAGACGCGCCAGTTAAATAGCATACGATTTCACTTACGATCTTCAATGCGCCACCCTGTACAGTCCGTCCCAAATATAGATCAAGATGGTAACTTTTTGTTACTTCAGATTGCTTGCAACCCGAACGACGTAAATCTGATTGCCGTGGTGGGTTTGAACGTAATAAAACTAATGGCCTGTTCGGACTCGATTTGGAGACAATTCGGTTACAACAAAACCGATAATATTAATTTTACATCGGCTTGCTGGCTGTCGCAAGACCGTCTGCTGTGCGGTTCGTTCACAGGCAGAATTGTTGTGATCGAAAGTGGCGAACTCAAGCAGATTTTTTTCGTCAATGACTTGATCATGATGGATTTCAAGGCAACAGAGGAGTAAGTGCTTTATTTTTGCAAAAAATACTCGTTCAAAAAAGCAAAGAATGTAGGCTGTTGAGGGTTGAAAAGTTTAAACATACTTGAGTGAGCAGAACCAGCTTTAGCTAAAGAATCTACCATGATAAAACCTCCCAATTAGAAGCGAGACGTCGTGGTTCCAACCCTCAACAATTGTCTACATTCTTTGCTTATTCATATCCAAACTAAGGAGAAGAAATAGAGAATACAGACTTAATTTTAAGGGAAGAAAAAGCCCCTTCAGATACGTCGTTACACGAAACAAGTATGGCGGCATTCGACGAAGGCAATAGCCTAGACTTAAGGGTGCGCTGCATGATAACGTTCCCACGTGGTCTAGCGTTCGTCTATCAGTCTGGTACGGTCCATTTTTTCGAAAAAGAGACAAACCACAGATACAGAAAACGAAACGTTTACGTAATTCCCGATAATTCCGTGCAGCACGAGAAAGAAGAACCCGTTCTATTGACAAAGGTCAACAGTCTAGACATAAATCCTTCTCAGGATCACCTTTTGGTGACCTGTTTGCAAAAACAGATGTTTACCACGAAACTGTGGGGCCCAGACATAAGCCAATACCCGGAAACCAATTTCCACGAGTTGGGACCAGAATTACACCATGGAGGCATTGGAGCCATCGACGTTTGCCTGTGGAAACCCATTTTCGTGACGACGGGGGAATGGGACAGAAAAGTGAAAATATGGAACTTCGACAATGACACTCTGGAACTCACAAAACAGTATCAGGAGGACATATACGGTGTCGCGTTGCATCCTACGGGACAATACATGGTACTGGGGTTTTCAGGAAAGCTGAGGTTCATGGTCATCCTCATAAACGACTTGATTTGCAAAAAAGAGTACGGCATAAGATACTGCAAATTAATTACGTTCAGTACAAGGGGGCATTTGTTCGCCGTTGTGAATGGGAACGTCATACAGATTTTTTCAAGTACTTCGTTTGAAAATGTAATCAACCTGAAGGGCCACAGTGGCTGGGTAAGCATAAAAATAAAGGATATTTCGCAGGGATTATTGATACATTTTTTCTTTGATTGTGGAATTCTTGGTTGGTAGTCTTGAATGGTACCATTTTCGATAAAGGCAACATTAGTTAATAGAAATGGGAATTTGATGTTGAAAATTTTACTTTGCTAGCAAACATTAAATTGTAAACAGTAATCTAATCTAGGTCTACCTATACCCCTCTTAACTTCCTAACTTCCTGCCTCTAATATGTCTCTGACTAGACCTTCATACCTGAGATAGGTCCTACCAACCTATCTCGCCTATTTCTTATTGACTTCCTAGAGTCCTCTGTTCTCCTATACTTTCTAATACCTCTTCATTTCTAACCTTCTCTATCACGATACCTCATCATTCGCCTGTAACACCACATTTCGAACGCTTCTAACCTTTTCTTTTCCGCCGCGCTCACTGTCCATGTTTCGCACTCATACAGCGCCGTACTCTAAACAAACATCTTTAACAACCTTTTTCGAATTTCTAAATTAACCGTTCGCGAGCATAGAAGTGACTTCTTTTTATTGAAGNGTAGTGCGAGTCGAAAACAAGCGTTAAAGCCTTTAATATGTCTTCAAATATAAATAAACATCTCGTTGATATTTTCAGTAGTAATTGGTACCAATAACAGCACATTTGAGCAATGCAATTGTAATGGATAAAATGGTCAATTTTTCCGTGCAGTACTGTACGGATCATACGCTCTTCACCGGTTAAGAGTTCGGCCGAGAGTTGTCTCCTTCCTTTTCTGGCCTAGTGCTGTTCTTTTTTACTTTGCGCCGGTCAAACTGAAGGTCACATCGCTACAGAAAGTAAACGAAGTATAACACATAAGTAAATAATTTTTTTCGGAAATATCTTTGAAAATATATCGATTTCCTTGCTGTTCCATGTCATGAGTTATAATTTTTTTTTTCAAATCAATTGACTTGTCGCCAAAATTACTTGTTAACGATATTTATATATTTTTTGGGCGATTATAGGCAAAAATCACGCACAACGATGCTTTCATTATAACTTGTTCGGATGACGGAGACATTTTCGTATGGAAAATACTCAATGCTGAAACCAAAGCCATAAAACTAGAGAAAGAGCTACTATCGTCGACAGACGTCCTGATACCAAGGGAAATATTGCAAGAGAGACTGAATGAAATAGAATTTTTGTACAGGCGTCTGAAAGAGCTGGAAAACGAATTTTATTATCAGATGAGACAAACTGAAACGTCTTATGGAGAAAAGATCAGGTCAATTCACGAAGGTTACTGCACCGCTATACAAGAACTGAAAGAAAAAAATCAGGCAAGTATACCAAAAAAAAAATATCTATATACAGGTTGGAAAAATTTGTTAAAGTAAACGGAAATCGTATAAAAATTGATCCACCCTGAATATTATAAATTTTTAATTCAATCCTCATCATGAATCTTAGATGATGGAAGGAGACCATGCACGCGATTTAACGAAAATAAACCAAGACATTGATAATATGAAAAAGAAGCACGACCAAGATATTGCATTTTGAAAGTGATATCTTTGTTTATAAATTGTTACTTTTCTAAAAAAACTATCCATTTGAATGAAAATTTGTTCAATAATTTTCTCTGTTCTAATATTACCATCAATTAAATGACAAATTACAATATTAATAAAATACAATTAATAATTATAAATTGCAGTAACTTGGGCACTTATGTCAATGCCATTAAATAAAAAAATTAATAAAAGGTGCGTACCTATTATAGAGTATAATGTGACTCATAATTCTGTGCTATTCTTTTAGTTCAACTTTACTACTAGCGATAACAACATTCACTGATTTTTTAAATAATTCAGCTGTTTTTTTTTTAATGACAACTGTCAAAGATGACGCATTTGCCTGTCCTTCAACCTTATCAGTCATATGGTATTAGACCAGAAATTAGTGGCAATTGCAAATTTGTAACTAACGATGACGTTGTATTTCCTATTGGTGGGGCACTGGCATTCCACAATATTTACCAGAAACGTAACAAATACTTGAAGTTACCGAATAAAGGACTGAACGTTTCTCTAATGACAGTAAGTCCAACAAGGTGAGAAATAAATAAAAGAAATTTATATCTGAAAATTATTAAAGAATTATTGAAAAATTTGGTGGAGGCGCTGGGACAATTTAAAATCATCGCTATAATTGAGCTGTAATTCTAGTTTCATTGACGTAGATTGATGAATCTTGATCCTTACATTATACTTTTCCCATTTAGGTGTCTTAAGGGATGTTAATCTAAATTCCTTTTACAATAAATTAAATTTAAACGTAATATATAGACAACCCAACGTNTGAAAATTATTAAAGAATTATTGAAAAATTTGGTGGAGGCGCTGGGACAATTTAAAATCATCGCTATAATTGAGCTGTAATTCTGGTTCCGTTCACGTAGATTGACGAAGTTTCATCTTTACATAATACTTTTCTCATGCACATGTCTTAGGGATGTTAACTTATATTCTTTTTACAATAAATCAAACTGCAAATAGTAGCGTGATACATAGACAACCCAACATACAGCTTATATTAAAACCCTGTTAATACAACTTAGGAAAAGGTGTTTTTTAAGGAAAATAACTTTCTTCGCCGGAAAACAATACTACCCTCCCTAGCCACAAAATATTACGTAAAATTGTTATTAACTCTATATTCTTATAAGTTGGAACCCTTTTTATTTAGAGTTGTTAAATAAGTATACGGTTACTATTTATGAATATTTAGTTAATTGTTATTGTAAACTTTTGTTGTAATGTCGAAAATAAGACGTTCATGAAGATACCCAAACAGTATCAAAAATTATTAAAAAAAAAACTTGTTGAAAATTTTGGTGGAGGCGCCGGGACAATTTAAAACTACTGCTATAATTGAGCTGTAATTCTAGTTTCATTGACGTAGATTGATGAATCTTGATCCTTACATTATACTTTTCCCATTTAGGTGTCTTAAGGGATGTTAATCTAAATTCCTTTTACAATAAATTAAATTTAAACGTAATATATAGACAACCCAACGTACAGCTTATATTACAATTCTGTTAATACAGCTTGATAAGCGTTTTTTTCACGGAAATAACTTTTTTAAGTGAATACAATACTATCCTCCATCAAACCACAAAATATTACGTAAAAATAATTAATAAACTAGTAATATTGTTAATAAAGACAAAAAAATTAAAATTTCTACTAATAAGTTGCTGTTCTGAATGTTAACGGTTTTTTAGGAGTAAATAACTAATAAAAGTAATAACGTTCACAATTTATTCGATTTTCTTCAGAAATCTTATAGCGATCGCAGAGAGGGGCGAAAGGCCCACTGTTACCACTTACGACGCCGTTACGCACAGGAAAAAGAAACAATACGTAATACCCCCCGACAAAGAGGTCAACGCTAAAGAGTTCATCTGGGTAACGTTTACCTACGACACGAGGTTTATAATTTGTTGTACTGGCGAGCCCGACTATACATTTTACGTATTCAATTGTTTACGAAACAGATTAGAGAGCTCTGGAAGAGGAAATAATTTAAACGGAACGGGAACTGTTAATGAGGTGCGAACAGTATATACAGGGTGGCCAATTAGTATTAGAAAATAGTAAGAGCAACTTTACAACATTTAGCATGATTTTTGTGCAAAAAGTTCGAGTACGTCGATTTTGATTGTGAGTGGGGTATGTTTTCATTCGTGTTACTTCAACCCCAAAGCAGAGAGGGACAGCACCCCTGAATGTTTAAATGGAAGGTCAGGTCAAACAACGCCAAGGTCAGTAAAGGTCTAGATGATGGCCCTTACCCCCAATGGGGTGGGGGGATCGAAAAAGGAAGTCTCCCCACCACTGTACCATAAAAAGTTCGTGGCGGTCTCACCCCCATAAAGTTGTGGGGGTTAGATGATGGCCCCCCACCCCCTTCGGGGGGGATCCAAAGAGGGTGGTCACCTGAGTAAAACCCCATAAAAAAATTGCGCCGGTCTCACCCCCATAAGAAGTTATGAGGGTTGAAATTTGATTATTTTGACAATTTTCATACACTATAATTCAAATAAAATTCAATAAAAAAAATATTTTCAAGCGGGTGGAGGTGGGGGATCGAAAGAGGGTGGTCACTTGAACAAAACCCGATAACCTAACCTAACCTACCCTATTGATAAAGCTATTTAAATAATGTTTTTTATAACTTTCTCAATATTTTTATGTATTTTTCATTAGTTTTACCTTTGAATATTGTTTAAGAATGACTATATAAATATTTACATGCCTAGAAATGTATAAAAATTGGCATATTTATTAACTTTGAACCCTCATAACTTTTTATGGGGGTGAGACCGCCACGAACTTTTTATGGTACAGTGGTGGGAGAGACCTCCTCTTTCGATCCCCCCCCACATCATCTAGACCTCTACCTAAAGGTTTTTTAATTCAATATTCAACAGTTTTTACAACCAAAATAGACGCGCCAGTTAAATAGCATACGATTTCACTTACGATCTTCAATGGGCCACCCTGTACAGTCCGTCCCAAATATAGATCAAGATGGTAACTTTTTGTTACTTCAGATTGCTTGCAACCCGAACGACGTAAATCTGATTGCCGTGGTGGGTTTGAACGTAATAAAACTAATGGCCTGTTCGGACTCGATTTGGAGACAATTCGGTTACAACAAAACCGATAATATTAATTTTACATCGGCTTGCTGGCTGTCGCAAGACCGTCTGCTGTGCGGTTCGTTCACAGGCAGAATTGTTGTGATCGAAAGTGGCGAACTCAAGCAGATTTTTTTCGTCAATGACTTGATCATGATGGATTTCAAGGCAACAGAGGAGTAAGTGCTTTATTTTTGCAAAAACTACTCGTTCAAATAAGCAAAGAATGTAGGCTGTTGAGGGTTGAAAGATTTAAACACACTTGAGTGAGCAGAACCAGCTTTAGCTAAAGAATCTACCATGATAAAATCTCCCAATTAGAAGCGAAACGTCGTGGTTCCAACCCTCAACAACTGTACATTCTTTGCTTATCCATATCCAAACTAAACAGAAGAAATGGAGAATACAGACTTGTTTAAATAAGCAAAGAGTGTGGGCAGTTGAGGGTTGGAAGGTTTATATGTAACAGGTCAATTGAAAAGTCCCCGGCCTAAAATAGTAAAACACATTTTTTTGCAAAATTCGTTTTTTTTATTCAACATAATTCCCTTCAAGGGTGATACACTGATTATAGCGATCCTCCAACTTTTCGATACCATTTTTGTNGGGACAATACATGGTACTGGGGTTTTCAGGAAAGCTGAGGTTCATGGTCATCCTCATAAACGACTTGATTTGCAAAAAAGAGTACGGCATAAGATACTGCAAATTAATTACGTTCAGTACAAGGGGGCATTTGTTCGCCGTTGTGAATGGGAATGTCATACAGATTTTTTCAAGTACTTCGTTTGAAAATGTAATCAACCTGAAGGGCCACAGTGGCTGGGTAAGCATAAAAATAAAGGATATTTCGCAGGGATTATTGATACATTTTTTCTTTGATTGTGGAATTCTTGGTTGGTAGTCTTGAATGGTACCATTTTCGATAAAGGCAACATTAGTTAATCGAAATGGGAATTTGATGTTGAAAATTTTACTTTGCTAGCAAACATTAAATTGTAAACAGTAATCTAATCTAGGTCTACCTATACCCCTCTTAACTTCCTAACTTCCTGCCTCTAATATGTCTCTGACTAGACCTTCATACCTGAGATAGGTCCTACCAACCTATCTCGCCTATTTCTTATTGACTTCCTAGAGTCCTCTGTTCTCCTATACTTTCTAATACCTCTTCATTTCTAACCTTCTCTATCACGATACCTCATCATTCGCCTGTAACACCACATTTCGAACGCTTCTAACCTTTTCTTTTCCGCCGCGCTCACTGTCCATGTTTCGCACTCATACAGCGCCGTACTCTAAACAAACATCTTTAACAACCTTTTTCGAATTTCTAAATTAACCGTTCGCGAGCATAGAAGTGACTTCTTTTTATTGAAGGGGACTCGACCCTGTGCTATCGTCTGCTTTATATCCCTACTATTCCTTCCGTCCTGTCGAAAATCAGTCACTTCTTCTAATTTTTTAGTCTCCTATCTTTATATTCCATATTTCCCTACTTTTTCTTCCCTGCATACCAGTATTTTTGTTTTACTTTTTATTTATTTCCATACAGCACTGTTTTGTCACTTGCTAGATGCTAATACAGCTGTATATCAACTGCAAATCTAAGCGTACTAATATTTTACCCCTGTACATCTATCCCTACAGTTGTACTGTCTTTAATAATGTTGATTGCCTCTTCGACGTATAAATTAAAAAGAAGCGGTGACAGTGTGCAATCCTGCCTGACTCCCTTTCTAATATTTACTTCTCTACATTACAGCCCCATCTCTATAACTTCCTGTTGCTCTTTATACAAACTAAGTATCACTCTTCTATCTTTGTAACTCATCCCTACATTTTTAAGCCACCTATTATTTATAATCGAAAATCCCGGCCAAACATAGAGCGAAATGCTTGAAACGCTTGTCACAAAACTTACATCAAAAGCCCTGTATATTTACAAATAACAGATCAAAGGAGTATCCTGGTGCAGAAACGATTCAAAAATAGTGTCCTGTGGTACAGAAGGAGCGGTTTACGAATGGGACCTGTCCACCGGGAAACGGCTATCAGAAGTGATATTGAAAAACGTCTTTTTTAACCACATCGTTTATTCGTCCATGGGTAAAGACAATTATTCGGTCAGTCAAGATGGCATAATTCGACAGAATGTGGAATGGAGCGTCTACAGAGAAAGATCTGTAACGGAATCCGGCTTGGAATGCGTTATTCTTTCCAATCTGGACTCGATGTTATTTGTAACAGGAAATGAAGGATCAATTTATTCAGTTAAAGTGCCTCTACAGGATGATTCGCCGATTCTTGAATTCACCATGCACGCAACAACGATAACAAAGGTTAGCAAACTAATAAAACGAGATATACTTCATTTACTTTCTCTAGCGACGTGCCATGATAAAACCTCCCAATTAGAAGCGAGACGTCGTGGTTCCAACCCTCAACAATTGTCTACATTCTTTGCTTATTCATATCCAAACTAAGGAGAAGAAATAGAGAATACAGACTTAATTTTAAGGGAAGAAAAAGCCCCTTCAGATACGTCGTTACACGAAACAAGTATGGCGGCATTCGACGAAGGCAATAGCCTAGACTTAAGGGTGCGCTGCATGATAACGTTCCCACGTGGTCTAGCGTTCGTCTATCAGTCTGGTACGGTCCATTTTTTCGAAAAAGAGACAAACCACAGATACAGAAAACGAAACGTTTACGTAATTCCCGATAATTCCGTGCAGCACGAGAAAGAAGAACCCGTTCTATTGACAAAAGTCAACAGTCTAGACATAAATCCTTCTCAGGATCACCTTTTGGTGACCTNACTTGTGAGACGGTGCATTGTCTTGGTGAAGCAGGACTTTCTTTTTCTGCAAATGCGGTTGTTTCTCGGCGATTTCGTCCTTCATACGGTCCAATTACGCTATGTAATAGTCGCTGTTGATGGTCCTTCCCTTTTCAAGGTAGTCAATGAATCTACCATGATAAAACCTCCCAATTAGAAGCGAGACGTCGTGGTTCCAACCGTCAACAACTGTCTACATTCTTTGCTTATTTATATCTAAACTAAGGAGAAGAAATGGAAAAGACAGACTTGTTTAATTTTAAGGGAAGAAAAAGCCCCTTCCGATACTTCGTTACACGAAACAAGTATGGCGGCGTTCGACGAAGGCAATAGCCTAGACTTAAGGGTGCGCTGCATGATAACGTTCCCACGTGGTCTAGCATTCGTCTATCAGTCTGGTACAGTCCATTTTTTCGAAAAAGAGACAAACCACAGATACAGAAAACGAAACGTTTACGTAATTCCCGATAATTCCGTGCAGCACGAGAAAGAAGAACCCGTTCTATTGACAAAGGTCAACAGTCTAGACATAAATCCTTCTCAGGATCACCTTTTGGTGACCTGTTTGCAAAAACAGATGTTTACCACGAAACTGTGGGGCCCAGACATAAGCCAATACCCGGAAACCAATTTCCACGAGTTGGGACCAGAATTACACCATGGAGGCATTGGAGCCATCGACGTTTGCCTGTGGAAACCCATTTTCGTGACGACGGGGGAATGGGACAGAAAAGTGAAAATATGGAACTTCGACAATGACACTCTGGAACTCACAAAACAGTATCAGGAGGACATATACGGTGTCGCGTTGCATCCTACGGGACAATATATGGTACTGGGGTTTTCAGGAAAGCTGAGGTTCATGGTCATCCTCATAAACGACTTGATTTGCAAAAAAGAGTACGGCATAAGATACTGCAAATTAATTACGTTCAGTACAAGGGGGCATTTGTTCGCCGTTGTGAATGGGAATGTCATACAGATTTTTTCAAGTACTTCGTTTGAAAATGTAATCAACCTGAAGGGCCACAGTGGCTGGGTAAGCATAAAAATAAAGGATATTTCGCAGGGATTATTGATACATTTTTTCTTTGATTGTTGAATTCTTGTACAGAAAATGGTACCATTTTCGATAAAGGCAACATTAGTTAATCGAAATGGGAATTAAGAATTGAAGGAATTTGATGTTGAAAATTTTACTTTGCTAGCAAACATTAAATTGTAAACAGTAATCTAATCTAGGTCTACCTATACCCCTCCTAACTTCCTGCCTCTAATATGTATCTCACTAGACCTTCATACCTGAGAAGGGTCCTACCAACCTATCTCGCCTATTTCTTATTGACTTCCATAGAGTCCTCTGTTCTCCTATACTTTCTAATACCTCTTCATTTCTAACCTTCTCTATCACGATACCTCATCATTCGCCTGTAACACCACATTTCGAACGCTTCTAACCTTTTCTTTTCCGCCGCGCTCACTGTCCATGTTTCGCACTCATACAGCGCCGTACTCTAAACAAACATCTTTAACAACCTTTTTCGAATTTCTAAATTAACCGTTCGCGAGCATAGAAGTGACTTCTTTTTATTGAAGGCGACTCCACCCTGAGCTATCGTCTGCTTTATATCCCTACTATTCCTTCCGTCCTGTCGAAAATCAGTCACTTCTTCTAATTTTTTAGTCTCCTATCTTTATATTCCATATTTCCCTACTTTTTCTTCCCTGCATACCAGTATTTTTGTTTTACTTTTTATTTATTTCCATACAGCACTGTTTTGTCACTTGCTAGATGCTAATACAGCTGTATATCAACTGCAAATCTAAGCGTACTAATATTTTACCCCTGTACATCTATCCCTACAGTTGTACTGTCTTTAATGATGTTGATTGCCTCTTCGACGTATAAATTAAAAAGAAGCGGTGACAGTGTGCAATCCTGCCTGACTCCCTTTCTAATATTTACTTCTCTACATTACAGCCCCATCTCTATAACTTCCTGTTGCTCTTTATACAAACTAAGTATCACTCTTCTATCTTTGTAACTCATCCCTACATTTTTAAGCCACCTATTATTTATAATCGAAAATCCCGGCCAAACATAGAGCGAAATGCTTGAAACGCTTGTCACAAAACTTACATCAAAAGCCCTGTATATTTACAAATAACAGATCAAAGGAGTATCCTGGTGCAGAAACGATTCAAAAATAGTGTCCTGTGGTACAGAAGGAGCGGTTTACGAATGGGACCTGTCCACCGGGAAACGGCTATCAGAAGTGATATTGAAAAACGTCTTTTTTAACCACATCGTTTATTCGTCCATGGGTAAAGACAATTATTCGGTCAGTCAAGATGGCATAATTCGACAGAATGTGGAATGGAGCGTCTACAGAGAAAGATCTGTAACGGAATCCGGCTTGGAATGCGTTATTCTTTCCAATCTGGACTCGATGTTATTTGTAACAGGAAATGAAGGATCAATTTATTCAGTTAAAGTGCCTCTACAGGATGATTCGCCGATTCTTGAATTCACCATGCACGCAACAACGATAACAAAGGTTAGAAAACTAATAAAACGAGATATACTTCATTTACTTTCTCTAGCGACGTGCCCCTTCCAATGTCTTGGATGCGCGATGGCAAAATCGTAGGTACGGAGAAAAAAAGCTCATTATACTCTCGACTCTTGTTCATTAAACATATTTTTTCATACAGTACCTGCCAAAAGTTTTGTTCAATCATGAATAGTAGTGCGAGTCGAAAACAAGCGTTAAAGCCTTTAATATGTCTTCAAATATAAATAAACATCTAGTTGATATTTTCAGTGGTAATTGGTACCAATAACAGCACATTTGAGCAATGCAATTGTAGCGGATAAAATGGTCAATTTTTCCGTGCAGTACTGTACGGATCATACGCTCTTCACCGGTTAAGAGTTCGGCCGAGAGTTGTCTCCTTCCTTTTCTGGCCTAGTGCTGTTCTTTTTTACTTTGCGCCGGTCAAACTGAAGGTCACATCGCTACAGAAAGTAAACGAAGTATAACACATAAGTAAATAATTTTTTTCGGAAATATCTTTGAAAATATATCGATTTCCTTGCTGTTCCATGTCATGAGTTATAATTTTTTTTTTCAAATCAATTGACTTGTCGCCAAAATTACTTGTTAACGATATTTATATATTTTTTGGGCGATTATAGGCAAAAATCACGCACAACGATGCTTTCATTATAACTTGTTCGGATGACGGAGACATTTTCGTATGGAAAATACTCAATGCTGAAACCAAAGCCATAAAACTAGAGAAAGAGCTACTATCGTCGACAGACGTCCTGATACCAAGGGAAATATTGCAAGAGAGACTGAATGAAATAGAATTTTTGTACAGGCGTCTGAAAGAGCTGGAAAACGAATTTTATTATCAGATGAGACAAACTGAAACGTCTTATGGAGAAAAGATCAGGTCAATTCACGAAGGTTACTGCACCGCTATACAAGAACTGAAAGAAAAAAATCAGGCAAGTATACCAAAAAAAAAATATCTATATACAGGTTGGAAAAATTTGTTAAAGTAAACGGAAATCGTATAAAAATTGATCCACCCTGAATATTATAAATTTTTAATTCAATCCTCATCATGAATCTTAGATGATGGAAGGAGACCATGCACGCGATTTAACGAAAATAAACCAAGACATTGATAATATGAAAAAGAAGCACGACCAAGAGATGACAGCGATGGAAGCCAATTACAACGAAAAATTAATAACCGAATACGACAAATATCAGCTTTTGGAAGACAGCAAAACGCTCATGAGAAAGAAATACGAAGAGGAATTGGACGAGCTCCGAAAAGCGAAAGCGACATCAGAAGAAGAAATAACTAATCATTTCTTACAACTTCTGAATGAGAAGAAAGCTGAAGTCGAAGAGGTAGGATATGTGTGAAATAATACTAAAATATGTACACAATCGTTTAATTATTCATACTACAAAATAACTTCTTAAGTATAAAAAAGGCAACAACTTGCGCAGTAAAAATATTTCGTCGTTAAGAACTCTACGAAAGCGAAAGTAAGACTGATTAATCAACAATGCGCGTTGCGCCCGTCAAAAATTCAATTGTTACAGGCGCCATTATTAATGGTTTGGGGAGGGGTTGAAGTTGCGCACGCATTTTGTTGAATCAGTTTGTGAGAAGTTGTCGAGGGCGATGGTTATCGTCATCAATTTAGTACCCGCACAAAAATATGTTTAATTTACTTATCTAGACCAGAAATCCAAAACAAACCCTAGAACCAGTAAAAATTTTGTTGGCTGCAAAAATTCCAGTTTTTCAAAATCTACTTTCACATTTCCTCACACTGTTTAATGTAATATTCAATTCTGGGGAGACAGGGGACTCCCCCTGTATCGGTCTTATTTTAAATAAAAAAATTGATACATACTAGATATTAAATTTTTTGAAATTATTTATTTGTAATTTCTGATACAGTTAATTGAAGAAGCAAGTAGAAAGAAGAAAGAACACGAAATGATAAAACAGCAAATAGAAGATGATGCAGATAGAGAAATTTATGAATTAAAATCTGTTCACGAGAAACAACTTCGGGAAGAACAGGATGCAAATATGAAACTTAAAGGAGAAACTGGCATAATAAGGAAGAAACTTCTTGTTACATACAAAGAGATGGAGGAATTGAAACATACCGTTGTCGTTTTAGAAAATGACCACACGAAATTCAAAAACACCATTGTTAACCTGGACAGGGACATAAGCGATCTCAAAATAGAAATATCCGAAAGAGATCTCACCATACAAGACAAAGAAAAACGAATTCTCGAAATGAAAAATCGAAATTTGGAACTGGAAAAGTTCAAGTTTATTCTCGAATTTAAAATTGACGAGTTAAAAGCTCAAATTGAACCAAGGGACAAGAAAATCGAAGAACAAGGCGAACAAATAAATGATATGGTACAAGAATTGGAAAACTTGCAGAAAATTATAATCAGTCTCGATCTGCAATTGGTGGAATTAAGAGAAAAATTGGCTGCAGCCGATAGGGAGTTGCAGAGGGAGGAAAAAAAGAGTAGAGCGGCAAAAGCAATGCTAAAGACGATAAGAACAGATATACACAGAGCCAGTGGATTTACTCAGGATATACCTAAACTTGTGAAGGAAATTAGGGTAATTACATGCGTGTATGTTTGGTTGCATAGCACTGACCAAAAAACGTCCTATTTCCATTAAAATTGTTATAAAACGAAATTTACCCCAAATGATACCTACCTAGATTAATTTACCACTCATAAAAGCCCTAACATACCAATTTTTTTCGAAATAGAGCCCTTTTGGAGAACGCGATTATATAATATATATATTCAAATCCATTTACAAATATCGCAAGTTAAATAAATAGTACAGGACATTATATTAAATTAATCATAACGAAATTACATTCAAAATTTTAGATAAAATTACGTGACTGTTTTATAGAAAATGATAGTTGATTTTCGAGTTCATACATGTATTACAATTCAGGATTTCCGGGAACTTTTCGGACAATTACATAGACGTGAAAAAGACCGGTAGTATATACGTACAGCAGAGGGCAAAAATATGAGAAATCAATAAAAATGCGGCATTTTTATATACTTATGTATTGTATTATCCGATCCTAATTCCTTTTCCAATAACACATCCTGTGATTCTATTTATTTTACATTTATATATCCAAGTATATACGAATTACAATGAGGGAATGTAATGCAATAAAATGAGGGAATTTTGATTATTATTCAATGTGGACATGGCAAAAGTCTTCATTTTTTTTATATTATTGAAGCGTGTCAAGAATATAAAAATGACTTATGACATTTTTTAACTAATTTTAGCTCATGTATCACAAATACAACGCTGATAAAGACTTTGAACAATCACAAGCTGAAGACTGCGAAGCTATGAATGAATATTTACGTCAACGAGACTTTTTGGAAAAAACTGTAAACACCTTGCAAAAACAGGTAAAGATTGCGATCTGTTTAAAAAATATATGATCTAATATTTATATATATATGTGCAAAATGTATCACTACAACCTTAGGGGTTTTTATCGTATTACATATTGTCACCCTAATTGTTATGGGGACACCCTGTATATGTATTTATTGTGATACAGATTAAAGTAAGTCAATCGACTGGTGGAGTAGACAAATACCGACTGGTGAACGAGAATGCAGAGTTGGTTGCCGATACAAATCTCCTAAGGAAACAACTTAAAGGCGAACAGCATAAAATCAAAAATTTGGAATCGGTTTTGGGGCTCAGTTCAAAATACATGTTGCCTTCGGAGGCCCAAAAGCGATTACAAGCCGCAGTTGCCACCAGAGACGAAATCCGTCAAGAATTTACGAGTAAAATAAAGGTATGTTGTCTTGTTGTGTTGTAGACACATAAACAAACGTTGAGTATTTACAATACTAGTAAGGGTTGCAAAATGATCACACCCCCTTCAAACAGTAGTTACAGGGCAAATAATAAATGTATATGCAATGTGGTCTTGAACACACAATTATCATTTGTGCGTAAACAAAATCGAAAAATATCAAAACAATTTTGCGATGGAAATGGATTAAATTTACACCGCAATATTTTGAGATTTATCGATATTGTCAATAGTCTACGACTAGGAATAAAAAAAAGACTCACCTTTCCTTTTTTTAAAGACAGGATTAAATTCACAGTAATACACAGCACAACACACCACTACCAAACAATAACAAAACCTAACTTTCTTCAATTGTTGTTGTTACATCCAGTCAGGGTGGCACCCGCATCTGAATTTAGAACAAAAGTAACTATTTAATATGAAAAACAATTATTACAGGATGGTGAAAATCGGATTTCCGTTTTACGTTCTGAAAATTGTCGGCTAAAGGAAAAGCTCGTGGATGATCAAAAAGAGGTTGTAGAAGATGTATTGCCAATCTCTGATGATAAAGAATAAAATAAAACATTTATTACAATGCAATTTTTATCTTGTATTATAACTATTTTTATTTTATAAATATTTGTTTTAAATAAACGAATTTAAAAAGAATCGTTTAAATATTATTTTCAATTCAAATAATATTTAAAGAGTTCTTACCGATTTCTAAATAGCTTTGGTTTATTTTTCAATTAATTAATGATACACTTCTGAATTTCATACCATTTATTTTATTAATTATTTAGTTCACACTTATAAAAAAGCGTTTATAAGCGGGCATCAACTTGACTATTCTTGCAACACAAGCTTTATGTAGGTCCTTCTTTAAATTATTTAGATTATCTACTTTTAATTGATTACGTAAATAGTCCTCTTCCTTTTTAGAAATTTCAGTCTCATCTTTACAGACCTTTTCCCACAAAGTTATCAAAGTTAGGAGCTCTTCCTCTTTTCTTAAATCTACTAGGAACCCTTTAAAGAAATTCCTTTGATTTGGGTCACTTAGGATTCTTTCAGCCATATTTAGTTTTAATTTAATTTGTGATGTATCAAGTTCTCAAAGTTTAAACAGAACTGCAGTAGTTTAGTAATGCACTATCTGTTGCATTTTCGAGGAACAGATAACTATTATCATTATCAGATAGATAGGTGTATTTTTAAATAGTTTTCAAATGAAATGTGTTACTGAAAATGCGATGGATGTTATTTAGAAAAGTTTCGATATTGCGGTTTGGTGGTGGTCCAGGATTGGTCTTCCACCTTCGGTGAGTCGTGAGAATCCTCAGGGAATGTAGCAGGGGCTTAAAAAACACAACCACAGCGAAGTATTTCACACCCACTCCACGTTCTCTGAGGAAGTCAGCGAAACGTCGGGTAAACGACTCTATCGGTGCTCTTAGAGAAGGAGAAGCAACCCTGGACTGTGCTCATAAAGGCTTAATTTAGAGCTCACTTTGAGATGTTTTGCCTCATATAAAGAAAAGTTTTATCAGTTTAAATTCCACTTTATTTTCACGGCGAAAGTACACAAATTGCAGACCTGTTCGCTAATATAACTGTAATATTACATAAACATGAATATTTGTGTTTAATTATTGTAAAATGCTGTAATAACTGCTTTACATACAACTTATGTAGATAATTATGTACTGTGTAAAAGGAATATACTTATCATTACTGTTTATCAGTAATTGCTTATTAGGAGTAGTAATGCCTTTTAAGGTTGAATAAGAACGATTCCGACTAATTTTGATAAGTGTCGCACCAAAAACTAACTGATTAATCGGTAAAGTTGGCACTAAACGTTTTTATAAATGCATAAGAAACGTACAATTTGTATAAAAAGCATTAGGTACTAATCACATCCTTTTCAAGGTGCCTATTTTATTTTTGGGGGTTTATTTTGCCCCCTTTCGGGTTCCCTATGTCTTCTTCCAGGAATAATACATTTCCAATGGCTTATTTACTTTCCAATATTTATCATTGACTTGCCCTAAAGTTTGATTGCCATTTAACTGAACATACTGACCAGTTGACGGAGAAATGTATATACAAAAGTTTAGCAAATGGTGTGTCTGCGACAACTGTGTATCCAAATCAATGGTTAATCTCATTGCTAAGTACTTATGAAGATGATCAACTGTTGCATTGGCTGTAGTCTTAATATAACGAATTGAATTCTCTTTGAGAGCCTTTACCAGTTGGTTATCGCCTGCCATTTCGGTGGGATGCGGTTTGAATACCAACTCGATTTCGTTTAAAGTCGTGGGCTCGGATGGACCTTCCCCTTCCGTATCTGTCTGTTCAGTTCTCTCGCTGGATTCGCTCTCTTCGCTCCTTTCTGATGTTAAATTACTTTTGGGACGTTTCCCTATGGATTTACTGATGGAACTGTGAACTGAGGAAACGGGACTGGGAGGCTGGGAAGGTGTACTACGACCTGACTTAGGGGTAGGACTTGGGGCAGTCGCTCCAGAATTAGTTGTCGGTGCAAGGTTTGTTGTGGATGTATTGGCTGTTGTAGTTGCAACTGTTGTTGTTCCAGAGTTTTGAGAACTTTGGCTATTCTATTATTAATAATAGAGGCAACGTTTTACAATAATTATACACACAAAATGGGGTGTGTTAAAAACAAGCAACGTGAATAACTTTGTAGAGAATTTTATTACTTGTAAAAGAATTTATTAAACCAAATAAGTTAATCCTAAATTCAGCTTTGGAGTTTAGTATTTCCTTTTTTTATACAATTCAAATTCCTATTGAGTTGGAATAATAAAACACAAAAGTTACTATTTTAGCACACCCTAATGTATGTTATACAATAATTAAATGTAAAGATACAGAAGAATAATTTACTTACCGAATTCTCATTTCCTTGATTATTGTCATTTTGGGTGTTAGCTCCACTATTTTCCCTGGCATCTTCATTGTTCTTTCTTGAACGGTTTGGTCTGTTTTGGCTTTGTAATTTTATCCCTTCAGTTATTGAATTAACTAAAGCAGCTTGAGAATGGCTTTTGTTGAGTTTTGCAAGAACCCTTTCTTGATGTGCTTCATATTCATCTCGACTTGGGTATATTTTTGAAATAAGCAAATCAAAATTTGGATCAGGTCGTAAGGACCTCTTTGAAACTAACTTTTTGCGACACGTAGGGCACTCTTTATTGCCAGATCTTAACGCTGTAATAATGCAATCAGAACAAAATCGATGCAGACACTCTTTTGTTGTCATTGTTTTCTTCAACATGTCCAGACAAATAGGGCACATTAACTCACTGTGTAAACTTCGTGGAGAAACTGCAATTTCTGTATTATCTGTTATAGCATCCTGAGGTGTTCTATGAAGTTCGTACAGGGATAATTCCCATGTTTTGTTCAAACCTATTTGCTCTGTGCTTGCCATTATATTACATTATTTCATCAGAAACAAATGAAAATGTTTTATCTCACTTCGTAATAATTACACTGATAAATATTTTAACTGTTAAACTATAAACAGTTCATTACACTCACTTTCTAAACTATTTTATAAAACAAAAAACTATCCATATTTGTTAACCACCAATAATTACTGCACAAATACAAAACGAGAAGCCATTTGTAATTACCTGCCCATAGATAATAGATATACGAAGGGTAATCTGTCATTTATTTATTCACATAGATCTATGCATGAATTTGATTGTTTGATCCATAGATAATATGTTTGATTCTGTCTATAGATATTTTAAGGTGCGTTCAATTTTATAGATACATGTTTGTATAGCAGACGTGATGTAAATTAAAACAATGTTAATAAAATTTCTAAGCAGAACAAACATATTTGTAGCTTTGCTTATCTGTTTAAAAGTTATTATCAACTTTTCAAGTGCATTCTATTAGAAATGAATATTTTTGATTGTGGATAATTATGGAAAGCAACTTATTAGTTTCAAAGTTCGATGCTTCGACGCCAGAGGGCCAAATAAATTTATTTGTGTCTAAATAACCCAGTATCGTTATCTGCTGACCTTTTAAATTAAAGTATGAAAGAGAGTATTCTTATTATTTCAAGATAATATTTAAATTTACTTAATAAATAAAATTTGCTTTCTTCTAAAGATTATATCGGTACTTTGCGCCGGTCAAACTGAAGGTCACATCGCTACAGAAAGTAAACGAAGTATAACACATAAGTAAATAATTTTTTTCGGAAATATCTTTGAAAATATATCGATTTCCTTGCTGTTCCATGTCATGAGTTATAATTTTTTTTTTCAAATCAATTGACTTGTCGCCAAAATTACTTGTTAACGATATTTATATATTTTTTGGGCGATTATAGGCAAAAATCACGCACAACGATGCTTTCATTATAACTTGTTCGGATGATGGAGACATTTTCGTATGGAAAATACTCAATGCTGAAACCAAAGCCATAAAACTAGAGAAAGAGCTACTATCGTCGACAGACGTCCTGATACCAAGGGAAATATTGCAAGAGAGACTGAATGAAATAGAATTTTTGTACAGGCGTCTGAAAGAGCTGGAAAACGAATTTTATTATCAGATGAGACAAACTGAAACGTCTTATGGAGAAAAGATCAGGTCAATTCACGAAGGTTACTGCACCGCTATACAAGAACTGAAAGAAAAAAATCAGGCAAGTATACCAAAAAAAAAATATCTATATACAGGTTGGAAAAATTTGTTAAAGTAAACGGAAATCGTATAAAAATTGATCCACCCTGAATATTATAAATTTTTAATTCAATCCTCATCATGAATCTTAGATGATGGAAGGAGACCATGCACGCGATTTAACGAAAATAAACCAAGACATTGATAATATGAAAAAGAAGCACGACCAAGAGATGACAGCGATGGAAGCCAATTACAACGAAAAATTAATAACCGAATACGACAAATATCAGCTTTNAATGCTACCACACGATTCTACTTGGTCAGTACTACCTACCTGACTAAACTTCATGTCTCAATTCCAATGTCAACTAATGTAAAAAATTACCAAAAAATATGTAAAAGAAGATAAATTGCATGTGTTTCTCCCGCTTTAGAACCTTTTAAAGTGCTTCACGTAACAAAATGTTTCGAATGCAAACTCGAAAATAAGTAATGACAAAGCGATAAAAGTTAAACAAAATATTGTGCAACAAGCTTTGTAATTGTTTGTGATTATACGCACTATTACGATAAGGCTAATCGCTTACGCTTTATTCCATTACTTGCAGAAAGTAGTGTGCACTTTTGTTCTGAAGTTAACCGAGGTTAAGTCACGCTATTAATTTTCCAACTTTTTGTGTGCTATAAATTTTGTTTAATTAATGTCCAACACACCTTTTGAAGATATCGATAATAATGACAGTGCCAAACCCGGTTGGTTTAGTACTGACTGGTTGTGCTGGAATAAATTTTCCGACATGATGCTTCGTACAGTGGAAAAGAAAATTTTGTCCTACCTTAAGACACCATTTAGAACCTGGTACGTGGACATAGGACCTGTCGTGGGGACGTCGGATAAAATATGGACTATATCGTTGAATACAAACTCCAACAATACACCTCTAGTAATGTTACATGGGTTGGGGGCAGGTGTAGCTCTTTGGTGCCTTAATTTTGATAGTTTAGCTCAAAAAAGACCTGTTTATGCCATTGATTTACTTGGTTTTGGAAGAAGTTCAAGGCCTAGCTTTAGTAAAGATGCTTTAGAAGCTGAGAAGCAAATGGTGAGTGATCCTATTAAAAACATATACGTACAATAACTGCCTTATAGAAAACGTTTGTTTTTTTGCTGTTAGGTTCGAGCTGTAGAAGAATGGAGACGCGAAATGAATTTAGAAAGTTTCATTTTACTCGGTCATAGTATGGGTGGATTCTTAGCCAGTTCATATGCACTTTCATATCCACAGAACGTTAAACATTTAATCTTGGCAGATCCCTGGGGATTTCCTGAAAAGCCACCAGAGTCGCAGAGGAAACCGATTCCAGTTTGGGTAAAAGCTATTGCTTACACTTTGAAACCTTTCAACCCCTTGGCAGCTGTTAGGGCTGCAGGACCTTGGGGACAATGGCTGATTGATAAAATGCGACCAGATATTACAAAGAAATTTTCAGGAGTTATCAAAGAAGAAGGAGTCATCACCCAGTATTTATACCAGTGCAATTCGCAAAATCCAACAGGTAAAGAATACAAATGCATTAATGATTTATCTCATTCATATAAAATATTGGAGTGGCTTTTAACTAAGGACCTAATTAATCATATTATTAAATTGCAGTGCTAGTGATTTTTTTGTTAGCAACCCTTGTCCTAATTAAATATTTGACCTTAAAAAGGGCACATCTATTTGTCAGAACAAAGATAACTTATCATAAAAATATAAAATTTGGTTTGTACAGGGGAAAGATTATATAAAGTTAAACATTAGTTGACTTACCTTAAGTCCAAAAGCTTATGTATGCTGTAAACGTTTAGACAAAGACACATTTGCTTCCCCTGTTCAGTGATGTGTACCTACACCCTGTGGATTGTGTATTTTTAATACTTTGTTTGGTCTTGGAAGGGCTGTAAAGATAACATTATGTAGATAACAAGTATCATTCAGTAAACACTATGAAATAATATGAGATAAAAACCACTCCAGTAATATTTTTTAATATTACTTGATTGGTCATTCCTATGGCGTGCTGATGAGATCATACAAGATCGAAATCGCGATAGTATTATTTAGTAAACACTGTGAGATATGATTACATAGAAACCACTCCAGTAATATTTGTTGATATTAGTTATCTGTTCAAAGCTCAATTGTTTCTAATGAACATGCTTTTTTGTGTACATAGGTGAAAGTGCGTTTCACACGATGATGGCAGGTTTTGGTTGGGCAAAGTACCCGATGGTTAAACGTATAGGTGATTTGGACCTCCGAGTTCCGATTACTATTTTGTATGGGTCGAGATCGTGGATCGATAATTCAGCCGGCCAGATAATTCAGGAAAAACGAACGGACTCCTACGTACGAGTGCGTGTCTTGCCAGGGGCCGGTCATCACGTCTACGCTGACAAACCTGAAGCGTTTAATTACAGCGTAATTGAGGCGTGTGACCTCACGGACGCGAACGAACAATTGACCAACGTTCACGTGACACAATCATCTCGTGACGGTCTCCTACATCTTATTACAACAGATGATCACAAAGAAGACGAATACAGGACGGTAATACCTAATAACAATGTTGCTGATGATAATAAAACCGACGGTACAAAGACAATTAAAGAAACTGATACGGTACCGGTTAATAACAATACATGAGCCATTGGATACGGTATTTTATTTTTATGTTTTTTTTTTTCGTTTTTATACACGAGCCTTTCTATTTATTGTTTTTTTTAATCAAGCTTGCAACTAGAAGATAGTTATGGTTTTTATCCACGGTTAATTAATAATTATCACCTTTAATACGAACGTGAAAGGCCTGTGTGAAAAAATTCCTTATAGTAGCCAAAAGAGTGAGAAAAATTGTGATATGAAATATATAAAAATAAGTAGGAAATTTTTTTTTGACAAAAAACTGACAATATAAATTAAATGTATATTTGGTAAGATTTAGCACGTTAAAAGATTCGTTATTCCATTTCGAAAATTAATTTTCTCAATTATACAGTATTAGACCCTTTTTATGTTTAAATTAGCACAAAACTATTAATAACAATGAATATTTTTTTACTACTGCACCTGCACCTGGAATAAGGTTTTTTCAATATCTAATTGTTTACATATTGTTTTAATATTTTAATTTGTGTATTAATTTATTTAAAAGAAAATAAAAATAATAAATAGTTAAATTGCGACCTTTTAAGATTTAATTTTTATTTTTCTTGTGTATCTGAAAAATAAAGAAATAATTTTGATTTTTGATGTTTTCTTCACACCCCCGCCCCTTACACCACTCCTTGTTAAGCTAGAATTTTCAAAAGAATATCAAATACTGCCGTTTACAATCCTTTTTTTATAAAAATCAAATCCAGAGATTTGATATTCGTTTATGAAATTTAACCCAAAAAATTTGACCGTTATTACAATTATATTTTGGGTGCGAACCCTTTATAGAATATGTTTCAAATTGAAATGAAAAATGGTCTTTAGATAACGAATGAAGCTAAGTAATTTATCATTATTCAAATTTTTAATTAACTTTATGTACAACATTAATAATGGAATAAAAAAAATATATCTATATTGACAGTCAAAGAAGCAAAAGTAAAATAGTTATTTATTTAACAGACCTAATGTATTATTCTAAAGCGTACTAACTTTGCAACTTTAGTCCGAAATGTTTCAGATACAGCCATTAAGTCTGATTTATAATAAAAGTAATATCTCTCAAAGACTAGGATTTTGACTCAGTTTGCTTTTTTTTAGTTGTTAAGTAATAATCATTATTTATATGAGAACAATTTTTTGAGAAAACGTTTGTGATGTACCTCAAAAGACCCCACAATTGTTCATTTGTGAACACATTCTTGAAAACGTAAATTGAATTTAAATAAGCTTATTTCTTTTTAAACTAAGTTTTAAACTGATTTAGATAATTATAATAATAAAATAATCAACCTGGTGAATGTGGTACCTCTGTGCTAAAATACGGAGCTGAAGACTTAACTAGAAGTGTATGACAGACGTCACAAACGTGAGAAGCCCTTTGATTAGGGCCGCTGTAGACTACATGAGACAAACACTGAGTGCAATACACTTGTCCACAGTGTTTACAGTTTTGCTTTTTCTTTTTTGTAGTCGTTCCAAATGCAGTCCGACACCCTGGACATTCTTCAACATCCTCTTCGTATTGCCATCTCACTTGGTTATCAGAGTCTCTGATTTTTTCTAATTGAACCTATAATGAAAACATTATATTGATACATGGGATGAAAAGTAGCTACAAGAATTATTTTAAAAATGTAAAGGAAAGACATTTCTTTTACTAATTATTTAACAAGTGTTCTTGCCTGCAAACTTTGAGACAGTCGCACAAAATCCTTTTGAACGGCCTCGCTATTGTCCAGTTCTTGCTGAAGAGAACTGATTCGAGACTTCAGTTCACTACTATAGTCTTCAACTAATTTCTGAAAAAAGTTTTCACCAGTTAGTGATTCTAGCAGAAAAATGTAGTAATTAATTTACTTTTGCTCTGTTCGTTTCTTCCAATTGATTTAAAACTTTCTGGTGAGCTTCCTGAAGGTCTGTCAGTTTATTTTCCATCAAAAGAAAATGTCTTTTCTCCTTTTCATAAACGTGTAACTGTTTTCTAAATAAAAAGTAATACTTATGACGAAAGAATTATTAGGATGTAATCTTTAATTACATACTTTAATGTGTTTATTTCTGTGGCCAAACTGTTTTCCAGACTTTCTTTTTCTTGTTGGTCATTCGTTATTTGATCCTTCAGGAGCATAATGTCTGACCTTAAACTATTCATTTGTTCTTCAGTTGCTTCTTTACCTACTTTCGCAATTATTAAGTCTTGAATTGTTTTCAGCACGACTTCTTGCAACTCCTAAATGAAATACATGGAATTAAAATGACCGTATTTGCAGATTTTATTCCTTGTACTTGCCTCTACTGTGTTGGGAAGGTTGATTATTTCACTCTGCAGCTCCTGAGAATGAGCGGTGTATTTTCCAGCCAGACTTTCGTTCTCTTTTTGTAATCTTAAATTATACAAATTGTAATTATTAAAGGATAACTATTTCATATAATACATGCAATCCGGTTTACATTGATGTATGTAAGGTTGCATATGTGATGTTCTTTTTGTTGGTGGTTCTCTTCATAAAACACGAAAAATGAAATGTATAGATGCATACATTAAGATATCATGTAAATGGAAAACGACACAAAAAAAAACAGGCTGATAACACGCCAGAAGCAGACTGTATACCAAAGTAGCACCCTTTTATTTCTTACCTTGTTAATTCTTTAGCTACATTTTCCCTATCCTCTATCAAATCTTTAAGCCTTTGCTCTACTTCATTGCATGTTTGCTTAAAAAGCAGTTGGGCTTCTTTGAGATCTTGTTCTGCACATTCTGTTCTTCGCGATAACTCTGCAACCTTAATTATATTGGATTAATTTTTGGCATAGTACAAAACAAAACTACAGAAAATCTACTGACCTGCTGTTTGTGTTCTTCCTTCTTTTCGTTCCATTTTTCTTCCATGTCCTTTCTGAAGCCAATTTCTTTGAGAAGTTCCTCTCTGTGTTTCTCAGCGGCTTTTTCACACGCAGAGACCTTTGACTGAAGTTCGCTGACCTTTTGTTGCTCTTTGACTAACTGAGCTTCATAATTTCGACACATATCGCATTGGGATGAAATTTGGGACTGTTCCGGGACGGTTTTTTTATTTTCGTCGACGACTGAGACTCCAAGTTGACCCTCTCCAACACTAGCTAACGACTGGTTGGATGGTGCCCTGGGAACCTCGAAATTAGACGGTAAATGTTCATGAAAGAAACATGAAGACCATTTCCAGAAAAAAAGGCATGTAGTTATTAATTTTATAAGTCATATTTACCTCTTGTTCGGGAATGTGTCTGCACTGCTTGCATTTTTGTAGCTGTCTATCAGTAGCCCTAAGTTTGTCTTTTAAAGCTTTTATTTCTTCTTCAAGTGGGACAACAAGAGAGCGCAAGACTTCTGCATCTTCTTTGGTCTGAAAGAATATTACAAAAATACAAGAAATATTAACAATTCCTTTTTTATTCTTTACGTGATCGTCGTCATTTTCTATTTTCTGGTAGCTTTCTCCATCTTGAGAGGAAAACACGTCAGCGCCAAGTTTCCTAGCCAAAGTTTTAGTTACTGCACTCAACATAACACTTGGCACTAAGCCAGAGCTTTGCTCCTGAAAAAAAGCCAAAAAGAAATTACCGCAAAACCCTATGTAAATAGATTTACATTGATCTATTTGCTATAGTAATTAATTATTTATTTTTTATTTGTCAAAAATGTTACTTAATAACATTAAAATAAAAAAATAATAAATAAACGAATACACTGTAGAGGCTGCAATATTAAAAATGTTGACAGAATACAAGCTTTGTTTCAGAAAATAAAACTTTGATAAGATAACAAGTATAGTGTGGGTGTTATTCCAATCAATATTAAAAGTAGAACAATTCATAGGTAACAATAATATTCACAGACAATAAACGCGTATTTAATTATGTATTACAACATAGAAATATTAATTGATTATAATAATACTAAATTTAATTCAATAACATGAGAATAATAATAAATAAAATCAATACGAAAAACAGCAGATCAGATTATACAATATTGACTCATTTTGCAGGAATATTTTTTAAATATTTGTGTTTTAATTAAATACGTTTTCTTCATGGATATATGCAAAAAAACTGTGTAAAACATAATGTTCTGGACATATTAAATCTGCCAGATGATTTTATTAATATGGTAATATTAGTACATACCTGTACTGAATGTCTCTCTGATTTAAGCGCTCCCATCTCATTTTCAAGTACTTGAATGGTTTTCTGTAACTTTCTTATTTCAGTGTCGTAAACTGTTTTTGATGAGCTTGACTCTTCAACAGTCTCTAACAAAATAATGAAGACATTAATCATACAAGTATTTACTTGTAGTTATAAACTAACCATGAATTAATCGCTGCAACGATGCAATTTCACTTTCTGCCTTTCTTTTCTCAGCCTCTAAACTAGATTCAAGGGTAATGTTAGTAACAACAAGCTGACTCTTAGCATCATCCAACTCCCTTTGAAGTTTTGCTAGTTTATCTTGAAGATCTTCGTTTTCTTTATTTTTTCTTATAAGTTCATCTACAAAAAAAACAAAGTGAATGACTTGCAGTATATATTTGAAAACTCTGTTGAGTACCTTCCTTTTGAAGAAATAGTTCTTTAAATTTTGCTCTCTGACTATCAAATTCATCACGCAGCTTTTTACTATCAGCTTGAAGCTGTTGAATTGCGTCACTATCTAAAATAATCAAATAATTCATTTACAGTTGTACGAAAATACGTTTATTATCGTTTAATTAACCTACCCTTTTCATCTGTAGTCGACTCCATACTTCTTAAAGGCTATCTCCATTTACAAAACATGTTGCAAAGAAAACACTAATACTGAACACATAAACAAGAACTTTAACTTACATTAAATAACAATTAGAATCATAAAATTTAGGAAAACTCCCTTATATTTCAGCAAAAAAGTTAAATTTAACCTAACAGTTGTCACAAATTATTGCAAATACCTTCATTTGTCATTTTTCAGGGTCATGCAGGTAGTGTCTTCTTAAACGCTACCGTTTATTACAAATTCATTTGAAATTATAAAAATGTAATGATCAGAAATAGTTATCAGTGATGTTCTTTTTGTTGGGTGATTCTCTTCATAAAACACGAAAAACGAAATGTATAGATGCATACATTAAGATATCATGTAAATGGAAAACGACACGTATGTAAATTTGTTTAGAATATTGAAAAATCAAATGGTCCTTATTATTTTGATGTTAGAATTATTTTTGTTTCAATGTAGAATTTCAATTGTTTTGGTGCTAGGAACACCTTCTACGACGTAAATATATTTTTGTGAGATAAATAAATGAATAAATACACAAATAAATAAATAAATATTAATTGATTCCTCTAAGCGTTTATATAACCACTTCCTACCTACTCAATGGCACGACTACGTTCTATGGGGTTTCTGACAGTTAAAAGTTTGGTTATATGAGGTTAGTTTAGTTAATTTGAAAAGATGCATTGAGAAAATAACTTAAAATTAAGTTTTAAATAAATGTTACTATTCTTTTAAAAGAGAAAGTACTGAAATAATTTTAAGCTATCATTATGCACAAGTTAAAGGAAGTGTAAGTATCAATAATATTGTGTTTTTCTTGTTTAAACTACACGTGGATTATTGTTGTTTTTAGTTTTGATGTAGAATCGAAGCATGGGGCATTTTATACTGGAGGAAACGTAGAATGGCACGATAATATACTTTACTGCAAAGGTATCTCAACAGTGTCTTTATTTAACATTGATAATGGGAGTGTGTCTTCGTTAATTGGAGAAGAAGGTGAAGATGCTGATGAAATTCAAACATTCACTTGTAATAACAAACGGATAGTTACATCGCACAAAAGCGGACTCTTTAAGCTATGGAATGAAGAAGGAAATGTGATAAAAATGTGGAAGTACATACACAAAGGTCCAGTTGCAAGGCTCACACTTTTAGAGAATGTTTTGGCTAGTGGGGGCTCCGATGGAATTATTCGTATATGGGAATTGGAACATCAAGCTTGCATATATGGCTTAAAGGGTGCACAGGGTGTTATTCATGTTGTTGAATTTTACCAAGAGAAGAATTGCATTTTTGGCTCAGGTGACGATGGTAAAATACATCTTTGGGGGCTAGAGAAAGGACAACTGTTAAGATCATTCAATGGCCATTTTAGTAAAGTTACTTCCATTGCTTTTCACCATGACAAAAAGCATTTTATAAGTGCAGGTCGTGACAAAGTCATTATTTTATGGGACAGTAATAAAGAAAAGTATTTGAAAGTTATTCCGGTGTATGAAGCAGTTGAAAGTGTTATTAGTCTGCCACATAAATTTCAGTTACCTGATTTGATCATTGATGAAAAAGAAGGAATTCATGTAGCAATAGCTGGGGAGTTGGGTATTGTACGCATTTGGGATGTTTTAAAATCAAAGGAATTATTTCGACAAAGTAACTCTTTAGTTGACAAGGCAAAAGACGAAGGAGGCTTATCAATAACTAAATTAATTTTTGATAGCATTAGAAATATTTTTGGAGTTGTAACGGCAGATCAAAACATATTGTTACATAATTCCAGTGATTTTTCTTGTGTGAAGCAGTTTGTTGGCTTTTCTGATGAAATTTTAGATGCCATATATGTGGGAAAAGAGGACGAGTTTATAGCGGTTGCAACCAATTCTTGTGACGTGAAGTTATATGAAGATGCTACAATGAATTGCCAACTTCTTAAAGGCCATACTGACATTGTACTTTCATTGAGTAAATGTATGGCAAATCGAAACCTTTTTGCTTCTTCTGGCAAAGACAATTCCGTTCGATTATGGTTGTTGGATGGTAGAACAGCTACATTTATTTCAGAAGTAAAAACGCACACTGCATCAGTGGGTTCAGTGGCTTTCAGCAATCTCGCAAGTTCGTTTCTTGTCTCTGCCAGTCAGGATACATGTCTAAAAGTGTGGAAAGTACCAGATAAATTAATGGTTGGTGAAAAACTGGTTTGTTTGAAGACGCAGATTGCCCACGAAAGAGACATAAACAGTGTAACAGTGTCTCCAAATGACAAAATGTTAGCTACTGCGTCTCAGGATAAAACGGCGAAATTGTGGTCAACAGATTTAGAATTGCTGGGTACTTTAAGGGGTCACAAGAGGGGCGTTTGGTGCGCACGTTTCTCCCCGGTTGACCAAGTAGTTCTAACATCCTCGGCGGACTGTACAGTCAAATTGTGGTCCACTGCTGAATTAAATTGCCTGAAAACAATTGAGGGGCACGAAGCTAGCGTTTTGAGGGCTGAATTTATAACAAACGGTCTGCAAATCTTGACTGCAGGTGCAGACGGCCTGCTTAAGCTATTTAATCTGAAAACTTCTGAATGTTCCCTCACATTAGACCAACACCAAGCTCGAATATGGGCTCTGGCACTTAAAACTGACGAATCAGGCTTTTTAACAGGTGGTTCGGATTCGCTCTTAATTAAATGGAAAGACGTCACAGTACAGAATCGCGAGGAAAAGAAAAAACGAGAAGAAGAATTAACTTTACAAGAACAAATCATGAGCAATTATGTTCACGAGGGGAAATATTTGAAAGCCTTGTCTCTAGCCTTGGAACTTAATAGGCCTTTGCAAACTCTGAGAATAATTCAAGCAGTTTTAAAAGAGGCCGATCAAAGCCTGAAAAGTACTGTCGAACAGCTAAGAGATGAACAGAAGGAGTTGTTGCTAAATTGTGCCCTCGAATGGAACACCAATAGTAGGTTTTGTCAGGAGGCCCAATTAGTAATTAATATTTTGCTGGAGGAGATACAAAGCGGAAGGTGTAAAATATCAGGTTTAGGCAAAATTGTTGAAAGTGCTCTACCTTACACTGAAAGACATTTTAAGAGACTTACCCAGCTGTTACAAGATTTACATTTTATTAAATATACTGTTAAATGTATTGAACCCCATACGACGATTAAATAGTTTTGTAATTATAGTAAGTACCTATATTTTGTTTTAATAAAGTTGAATTATTTTTTAATTGTTCTTATTATTTGTCTGCCTTTAATTTATTTATAAAGTCACAAATTATTGCAAATACCTTC